AGATCCTCCTCTCCACCCTCTCCGAGTTGGGCATCTCCGGCGCGGCTCACTCTTGGATTGCGTCCTACCTGACAGGTCGCTCCTACCAGGTGGCGTGGCGAGAATCTGTCTCCGCACCACGTGCTCTCACCACTGGTGTCCCCCAGGGCTCAGTTCTAGGCCGTCTCCTATTCTCTCTATACACCAAGTCACTTGGCTCTGTCATATCCTCACATGGTCTCTCCTATCATTGCTACGCAGATGACACACAATTAATCTTCTCCTTTCCCCCTTCTGATAACCAGGTGGTGAATCGCATCTCTGCATGTCTGGCAGACATATCAGTGTGGATGTCGGATCACCACCCCAAGCTGAACCTCGGCAAGACGGAGCTGCTCTTCCTCCCGGGGAAGGACTGCCCGCTCCATGATCTCGCCATCACGGTTGACAACTCCATTGTGTCCTCCTCCCAGAGTGCAAAGAACCTTGGCGTGACCCTGGACAACACCCTGTCATTCTCTGCTAACATCAAAGCGGTGACCCGATCCTGTAGGTTCATGCTCTACAACATTCGCAAAGTATGACCCTACCTTACACAGGACGCGGCACACGTCCTAATCCAGGCACTTGTCATTTCCCGTCTGGATTACTGCAACTCGCTGTTGGCTGGGCTCCCTGCCCGTGCCATTAAACCCCTACAACTCATCCAGAACGTTGCAACCCGTCTGGTGTTCAACCTTCCGCTCCTCCGCACACTCCACTGGCTTCCAGTTGAAGCTCGCATCTGCTACAAGACCATGGTGCTTGCCTACGGAGCTGTGAGGGGAACGGCACCTCCTTACCTTCAGGCTCTGATCAGTCCCTACACCCAAACGAGGGCATTGCATTCTTCCACCTCTGGCCTGCTGGTCCCCTACCTATGCGGAAGGACAGTTCCCGCTCAGCCCAGTCAAAACTGTTCGCTGCTCTGGCACCCCAATGGTGGAACAAGCTCACTCACGACGCCAGGACAGCGGAGTCACTGACCACCTTCCGGAGACACTTGAAACCCTACCTCTTTAAGGAATACCTGGGATAGTATAAAAGTAATCCTTCTACCCCACCCCCCCCCCCCACCCCCACCACCACAACCCCACAATTTTTTGATATATATATATATATATATATATATATATATATATATATAAATAAAATTGATACAAATAATAACTAATATTTACAAAAACATTATTTAAAAAACGTACAAATTAGAAAAATATAAAAAATAAATTGTAAAGTTGTTGTCCCACTGGCTATCATAAGGTGAATGCACCAATTTGTAAGTCGCTCTGGATAAGAGCGTCTGCTAAATGACGTAAATGTAAAAATGTAAATGGAACGGTCGTTAAGACACTGACAGCTTACAGATGGTAGGCAATTAAGGTCACAGTTATGAAAACTTAGGACACTAAAGAGGCCTTTCTACTGACTCTGAAAAACACCAAAAGAAAGATGCCCAGGGTCCCTGCTCATCTGTGTGAACGTGCCTTAGGCATGCTGCAAGGAGGCATGAGGACTGCAGATGTGGCCAGGGCAATAAATTGCAATGTCCGTACTGTGAGATGCCTAAGACAGCGCTACAGGGAGACAGGATGGACAGCTGATATGGCTTTTTCTTTGCAACTATGCCTAGAAGGTCAGCATCCCGGAGTCGCCTCTTCACTGTTGACGTTGAGACTGGTGTTTTGCAGGTACTATTTAATGAAGCTGCCAGTTGAGATCCTGTGAGGCGCCTGTTTCTCAAATTAGACACTAATGTATTTGTCCTCTTGCTCAGTTGTGCACCGGGACCTCCCACTTCTCTTTATATTCTGGTTAGAGCCAGTTTGCGCTGTTCTGTGTAGGGAGTAGTACACAGCGTTGTACGAGATCTTCAGCTTTTTGGCAATTTCTCGCATGGAATAGCCTTAATTTCTCAGAACAAGAATAGACTGACGAGTTTCAGAAGAAAGTTATTTGTTTCTGGCCATTTTGAGCCTGTAAATGAACCCACAATTGCTGATGCTCCAGATACTCAACTAGTCTCAAGAAGGCCAGTTTTATTGCTTCTTTAATCAACACAACAGTTTTCAGCTGTGCTAACATAATTGCAAAAGGGTTTTCTAATGATCAATTAGCCTTTTAAAATGATAAACTTGGATTAGCAAACACAACGTGCCATTGGAACACAGGACTGATGGTTACTGATAATGGGCCTCTGTACGCCTATGTAGATATTCCATTAAAATCAGCCGTTTCCAGCTACAATAGCCATTTACAACATTAACAATGTCTACACTGTATTTCTGATCAATTTGATGTTATTTTAATGGACAAAAAAATTGCTTATCTTTCGAAAACAAGGAAATTTCTAAGTCACCCCAAACTTTTGAACGGTAGTGTATATGTTTTCATGCAAACTCCAATATGTTAGGCCACTGTGTTCTTGGGGACCTTCAATGCTGCATAAATGTTTTTTCTACCCTTCCCCAGATCTGTGCATCGACACAATCCTGTCTTGGAGCTCTACGGACAATTCCGTCGACCTCATGGCTTGGTTTTTGTTCTGACATGCACTGTCAACTGTGGGACCTTATATAAACAGGTATGTGCCTTTCCAAATCATGTCCAATCAATTGAATTTACCACTGGTGGACTCCAATCAAGTTGTAGAAACATCTCAAGGATGATCAATGGAAACAGGATGCACCTCAGCTCAATTTCGACTCTTATAGCAAAGTGTCTGAATACTTATGTAAATTTATTTTTTATAAATTAGCCAATATTTCTAAAAACCTGTTTTCACTTTGTCATTATGGGGTATTGTGTGTAGATTGATGGGGAGTTTTCTTTTTTTTAAATCCATTTTAGAATAAGGCTTGTAACGTAACAAAATGTGGAAAAAGGGAAGGGGTCTGAATACTTTCCGAATGCACTGTACAAAGCAGGCATTTTGACTGGTGTTGACTGGCAGGTAGCCTAGCAGTTAAAGCATTCAAATCGTCCAGCCGACAAGTTGAAAAAATCTGTTGTTCTGTCCTTGAGCAAGGAAGTTATAACACCCCCACAACAAGAGCTACCTGGTAGTTGGGTTAAAAGCGGAAGTCAAGTTTTGGTTGGACTTTGCATGCAATTGACGATAAAAATGTATTTAAATTAAAAACCTTGGAAAGAAGTGTTGTAGTCCTCCAACTGATTTTGCTGAAGCCACTGGCAGACATCCTCCACTGACCATCCAGAAACTTCAGAATTTCTGAAAAGAAACAACAGAATCAGGTTTCATGCCGGAGTCCAGTTAGGCTATGCAAAGGCACTACATATCCTGTCCCCACCAGGAATACCCATGAAATGACCAAAACCAACTCACCAAAGACACTTTGGTGTGCCATTTGTATTCCATTTGTATACTAACAGATTTCAGTTTATATTGACTGCTATGTAGGTTAAATGTACACTTCAAATGCAGCTGTCCAACAACATATCCTTACCTTCTTCTTGATCCCAATTGCATTGTGTCCATGTTCTGTCCTAGGAAGAATTTCAAAGGAAGGGAAAATGTGTCAAATAATAGTCTTACAAGCATTTAAATAAAACATATATTAAATAAATATTGAAAGATAAATGGCATTGACATACAATTGAATGCAAAATAGAATAACATATTGGAGAAAGCACTATCCAATACAGTACTGCCATACAGTAAAAGTACTGCCATACAGGCCTAATATCAAATTTCAAGCTATCTTTGTGCACATTTACATTTTAGATTTTTGTCATTTAGCAGACGCTCTTATCCAGAGCGACTTACAGTTAGTGAGTGCATACATTATCAGGCTGACTTGAAAGATTATAGGCAATGTTTTGCTGCTTGGCAATACTGTGTTTGGATTCTGAAGGGCATGCATATATACAAAAGAGGTAGTCTAGTCACTGTATTAATAACATTATGCATTTGAATCCCATCTAGCTAGCTACTATCTAGGCTATTAATTTCCCTCCACAAGGGGGCATACATGTAACGTTTCCAAAATGGGATAGTATTGTACATGTAATGTTATGATCCCTTGTGAGTTCATGATGGTATCGCATGCTGTAGCAGGCTATATAAAGAGGAAGCCCTCCATTGACAGATTCAGTTCGTTGTCGTGACATCTCGTCTAGACGGGTCAGCGGCCTTAGTTAGTTAGCTAGCTTGCGTCAATGGAGCTAGCTAGCTAGTTCATTCTCACAAAAGTGAGATAACTACTCTAGATTGGAAACTTATGTTAATGAGTGTAAAGCCATGTTGGCTTTATGGAAACGATATACAATATATGGGGCAGAATATTGTTCAGTAAATAATACAAACCTAGTTCTGCCTAGTTAGGACATAAAGTTAGCTAACGTTAGCTAGTTAGCTAGCTCATACAACGGTCAAACCCAGCTTTCTAACGTTTATGTTCATTCTTCTGAATTAAAGTAGCTAACTAACGTGACAGCTAATGTTATGGAAGCTATTCACAGAAGGCCACATGCATAGAAGCTTCGGGACCTTTAGCTGTCGGGAAGAGGGGTCCAGAAATGTCAGATCCGCAGCCTCTGCTCTCTTTTAAAGCTTGCAATAATTACATTTAAATAGCAGAATAAAAACGATTTCAGTATTCTGTTAAGATTTGTAATTGTAAAATAGGTAGGCCTATGTGTTCTTTGAAAGTCTGTGGAAGATAACAGTGGGGGAAATGTTGTTCATTATATCACAGTTTTATGTTATTTCAAATACATTATTTCACTTGGGACATAGGCTTACAATAATCATGGGAGGAAGGTTTCAGACAAAATATGATTTGAATGCACCATAATTGCCACACTAACCAGGCACGCTCAAAACAAATCTCTTCCTAGGAATTCCATTCCCTGTTTTCCTGCGTGCCATTATTAAGCGCTATCTAGCGCATAGGAATAATTAGGCTAAATTAGATAACACGACAAAATAAGAAAACGGCGAAAATAAGGGTATAGGGGGGAAAAACGTTTTGCATTACTTTGAATAGTCATAATGTGAGAAGACACCTCGCTTGGAATTATTTCATCCGCATTTCTGTGCTGCATTTGAGGTGTCTTTCATTGGCGATGCTGCGTCTGCGGACGGTTACATTTTTGGCTGGCTGGCCGGCTGTGTAGCAGTCTATTCATGCAATGCATCGCTCAAAACATCTCACAATTGTTTTTCCTACACGTGGAGGATCAAAGCTGCACAGAGAATGCTTAAACATGGGATAGGCCTATGCGTTTTATGTGGTCAGTATTTATCTGCTATGATTTTGAAGATCCGCGGTCAGAGACAGCGGCTCAGTAGGCTGTCCTCCTCAATCGCATCATAGACCACTATTGCTGGATGCAAAAAAAGACAGACTTGAGATAGCCTTCTGACTCTTTAAATATTTAAGAATACGGACTCTTCAAAACTGAAGACATGCTAGTCTCTTTGTCTAACATCTTCTACGCGTGATCTTCTAACGACATTTTAAACAAAGAAGTCACGGATGAGAGCCCATGACCAGGCTCCAAAATTACACCGAACGGGGACGCACCTAAAAAAAAGCTCCAATGCGAAATGGTAGGTGGTTAAAGCTTATTAGTGAAATGTTGTAATTAGCCTATGTTATGTTAAAATATGAGCAATCGAAATCTGAAATAGAGCCTATGTTTCAGCTTTCTCTGTAAAACGTCCTGCAGATAGTAGCCTATCAATGCGCACAGTGAGTTCAATTTGATCATAGCAATTATCTACTGTTGATTTGTAGCACCAGCTTCTCCAGGTGGAATGTCGCCTACGGAATATATATACAAAAAATGCCTTCATCAACACAAATCTACATTGAACCTTATTGAGCATTGCAACGAGGAGGACTCCTGAATTTGTCCTGAATCGTTCCAAAAATACTGCTATTTGGATCCCGGACATCGACAACTTTAATGGCTTTTGTGTTCAGAAGATGGAGAGTGTTATTGGTGCTGAACGTGATTGCGGTTGCGGGGTTCATGACACTTTGGACCAAGTGCACCCACACCCGAGTAGCAAAAACCATCGGTCAGGACGATGTGAAAAGACAATCACGCTCTAACGGCACGGCTCAAGGTTTGAGCATCAGTCATGAAGTATTGCTAAAGAGACTCGGGTCGTTGGAGGACGTGGTCTACAGACAGCTTAATGGTAGGCTATGACTCTCTACAACTCTAGCCTAACCACTTAAAAACAATGACTATGGCTCATTGGTTACTTTGTATTTGCTGTCACTCAAAGCCTACCATGATTGCTGTTATTTACATAGGCTGCGGCTTAGGATCCATCCCAAATGGCACTCTATAATTAGTGTACTACTACTTTTGACCAGGGCCCACAGGGTAGTGCACTATATAGGGAATTGGGTGCCATTTGGGACATAGGTTTAGTATACAGCTACCTCCTTTGTTAAAAGTCTATGATTCTCAAAACAACTAGGCAAATGTGTTATAGCATAGTGACCTTTTCTTGACTGTGTGAACTCCAGGTCTGTCCAAGTCCCTGGGGCTGATCGAGGGTTTCGGGGGGCGAGGTAAAGGGGGTCTCCCCGCCACCCTAGCCCCAAAAGAAGAGGCTGACGCCAAAGTACTGAGGGAGAAGTATGGATACAACGCTTACCTCAGCCAAAAGATATCACTGGACCGGTCCATACCAGACTACCGGCCCAGCAAGTACGTTTTAGGCACTCTTTTTGGCCCATAATGGCACTATATTCCATATATAGTCCAGCATTACTTTTGACCAGGGCCACTCTTACTATAGCTCAGCTGACAACCGTGTTTCAGTACAATAGACTCGCTACAATTTGGGTTTGTAAGCTGCAAGTTGCAAGCATTAGTCTGTGTGTGTGTGTGTGCACTATATTTTATTTGATACCCATCTCTGGATCTCAGCTCATGATCTAATCAGAAGTGATAAACATGGAAGTGACTACTTTGTTGTGTTAGTTGTTTCGCTGCTACTGGGTTGTTGCCATGATTTAAGCTATGACAGCAGATGTTATTGTTTTGGCACCACTTAGCTTTGTGGTTAAAAATACAATATTCTTAAAACCATCTAGTAAGATCTCTGTAGCTTAATCCCTCTTCCTTTGTTGTGCTTTTTTGTGGTCTTCTTTGTGATGAAGTTGCAGTCTAATGCGGCAATTGACACTCGCGCACACACACACATTATGCTTGTGCGTGTACACAACCCATCAGCACACAGAAAATAATGCATATTTGAACACTAGCAGTACAGCTCTTTTAGAAATGTCTCTTTAGAAAAGTCTCTATCCTTTCCCCAATGCTGTGGTGTTTAGCAGGCAGACCCCATTTGAAAGCCCCTGATGAGAACTCCCTCGCCCCAGCTCTGCTCTATCACCAGCTGCGAAACACACCCGCCTGCAGCCGCAGGGAACGGGAACACACACACACACACACACACACACACACACACACACACACACACACCTGAGGGGATCAGGGATCCACACACTCATTTGTAATTTAGTTTCTCTGTTTCGAGATCAAAGAGGACCATGATGCATGTTGGGTGTGATATCTCTTTGTATGATAACACCGTAGAATGGGAGCCTTCTCTTTGCTTGGTAACAGAACAGTATCGTCTAGTTATCTCCCAGAATGGGAGCCTTCTCTCTATTGGGTATCTCTCTCTATGCCCTGCAGCAGAAAGAGCTAGGAGTTAGAGCCCTGAAATTGACTAACATCATCCAATCCTTTCCTTACTTACTGGGATGTACTGTATCACAATTCTTCAGATGTATCTCAGCAGTTGAAAGTGACTGCTGACTTGCTCTCACCTGTCCAATTCTTTAAGACCAGCGCAGATGAGGGAAAGGCGATAAGGGGAAGGATAGATACCTACACATTTTCGGAGAGTAAAAACTTGAACTATTAGGACATAGCCAGCCACAGATTCCTCACTTCCTCTCAATAGGGCTGGCTCTCGTTATAACAAAAGCTACAGTAAAAATAGGCTTCCTGTCGCTATCTCCCACAGTGCTCTTACTGTGAGGCTAGGGAGAGGGGGTGTGTTGAGACCTGTTGTGAAAAACATGATTGTGGGGAACAGGTAGAGGCACATGGTTCTCATTTTAAATTGCAAACCAAAATGTGTCAGCTCATCATCAACATGTACAGAAGAGACTTGGAGAAGAAGCAGCTTGCGTGGTGGTGATAAACTTGGAAACCTACATTAGAATGTTGGGTAGTACTTTACATGAGCCCTCTGCCATAAGGACGGGCTACATTATATTATATACATATTATTATATAGGGCTACTTAAAACATTAGCTTTACATAGGAGTGTTAAAGTACCATGTTACTGAATATTGAATGATGGACTCACCGTTTGCCTTTATCTATAATATATAAGGATTTATTAGTGTTTGATGTCATTAGTGATGATGGCTAGTAATGTGTGCGTGGATGTCTCTCTCTCTGTGTGGGCGTGTGTGTCTGCATATGTCTTTGTGTGTTTGGTCTCCAGGTGTAAAAAGGCCAGCTTCCCCAGGGATCTTCCAAACATCTCCCTTATCTTCATCTTTGTCAATGAGGCGTTGTCAGTAATCCTCCGCTCGGTCCACTCAGCTGTCAATCACACACCGGCTCACCTTCTCAAAGAGATCATCTTGGTGGACGACTACAGCGATGACGGTGAGGAGAAATACACATGCGCGCACACACACACACACTGCCACGCGCAGACACATACGCACGCACGTGTGCGCACACACACACACATACCTGAAAGTGCATGTTGGTGAAGAAATGGTATGAGTACACATACACACACATCTAATATACATTGATACATATTCATATAATTTACATTTTGTTTATGCATTTAATTTAATTATATTCTATTCTTTATAAAGACATCCTTGTCCAACATGCTGTTTTGCTGCACAGACAGGACAGTCAGATCAAGGCAAGAGAGGAGAGGGAGAGTTGTGAAGAGAGTAAGCAGTGAGCAGAGAGAGAGGTGTTTAGAGAGAGGAAGAGAGACAATTAAAGGCGCAGAAAGGTGGATATAGAAAGGGAGAGATTATTTTTTTTTTTTTTCACCTTTATTTAACCAGGTAAGCCAGTTGAGAACAAGTTCTCATTTACAACTGCGACCTGGCCAAGATAAAGCAAAGCAGTGTGATAAAAACAACAACACAGAGTTACATATGCGGTAAAACAAAACATAAAGTCAAAAATACAACATAAAATATATATACAGTGTGTGCAAATGTAGCAAGTTATGGAGGTAAGGCAATAAATAGGCTATAGTGCAAAATAATTACAATTAGTATTAACACTGGAATGATAGATGTGCAAGAGATGATGTGCAAATAGAGATACTGGGGTGCAAATGAGCAAAATAAATAACAATATAGGGATGAGGTAGTTGGGTGGGCTAATTTCAGATGGGCTGTGTACAGGTGCAGTGATCGGTAAGGTGCTCTGACAACTGAGGGTGGAGGGAGAGAGTGAAAGGGTGGAAGAGAGTTTAGTAGAAAGTGAGGGGCAGAGAGGGAAAGAGAAAAAGGAGAGAGAGACGGTAAAATTTCCTCCACGTTTCTGGCACGGCAGGACGGCAGAGGGCAGCAATCCATCATGGAGGGGAAAGTAAGATATTGCAGTGGTTGAGATGGAGATGCATGCAAACAAATAACACACACGCTCTTACTGTCTGCATAACTCTTCTCCTCTCAGCCACACATGCACTGCACATCCGCCAGCACATCGAGAAGGGTGCAATTGTGGCCTGCAGTTCGGGGCGTTCCTGCATGTTGGCATTCCTGCATCTGCATGAACCCCTTTTTATACTTCTATATTTAAATGTTTAAGCTAGGACAGGCGGGAGGCAGGGGCGCTCCAGTACAGTAGGTGGCATTAATGCACAATAATGTTGGATGCCAGCCACCGATAAACCCCACAGAAGAAGGGGCAGGGGCGACAACGGTAGCTAGCTAGCCGTACACCAGTAGACAGTGTCCTTTACCCCTGCCTGCTGGGCACTGTTTTCCCGCAGTTCAGTTAACGATGGCAAGGGCAAATGTTCGGCAGGCAGGAGCGAAGGACACTGTGTGCTAGCTTAGCCAGCTAGTCCAGTACACAGCAGGCGGGAATGCGGGGGCAACACCATGTGCTAGCTAACTAGCAAGATAGCATGCAGTGTCACTAACTAGCAAGCTAGCTGGTTAGCTACCACACATTGTCCCCCCATCCTCCCACCTGCTGTGCTAGCCGTATGCGGGGTCGACTCCGATAGACAGTGTCCTTCGCCGCCGCCTGTCAGGCACAGTTTTCTCGGGCACACAACAGGCGGGAGCGACACCGTGTGCTAGCTAACTGGCAAGCTAGCACACGGTGTCGCTAACAAGCTAGCTAGTTAGCTAGAACATGGTGTCGCCCCAGCCTCCCGCCTGCTGGGGAGGCGGGGGCGATCGGTAGACAGTGTCCCACCTGTCGGGCACTGTTTTCCCGCAGTTCTGTTAATGACAGTGAGGGCATGTGTTCGGCAGGCGGGAGCGAAGGACACTGTCTAAACTCAGATAATACTTTTATTTCCCTTTTGACCCACATTTAAAAGTATCACAACCATGAAAATTTCATGCAGGAACCAATGGGCTGCAGTCGCATACTATTGAGCAGATCTGCCAGTGTGTGTTTGTGTGAGGGGAGTGGGGGTTCGAAGAGTGTGTCCAGGGGGAAAAGCTGATCAGTTGAGCGAGAGATCAAAGGTAGAGCAGAAGCCATAGCTCAGGAAGCACCCAACTCCTCCTGGTGTTGTTGTGAGATTTGTTAGAAAGCACTAGAATGCTGGGGCCCATGAAAACAGATTAATCTCTTCTCTTTCTCTCTCTGTGTGTGTGTGTGTGTGTGTGTGTGTGTGCGTGCGTACATGCATGCTGGCGTGTGTGTGTGTGTGTGCTCACATGCGCTTGAGTGTTTTTCTGAAAGTGTTTGTGGGTGTCCTTCTGTGTGTGTCTGCTTGCTTATGTTTGTCTGTGTGTGTTGCTTAGTTATATTTGGTTGTGTGTCCCAGAGCAACTGAAAGGGCCGTTGGAGGATTATGTAAACAAGCGTTACCCAGGCATGGTGAAAATCGTAAGGAACCAGAAGCGAGAGGGACTGATCCGTGCCCGCATCGAGGGCTGGAAGGCAGCCAGTGGCGAGGTGACAGGCTTCTTCGATGCCCACGTGGAGTTCACACCCTCCTGGTGAGTATATGTGTGGGTTTCAAGTTGAACTTTGAGTTGTTGGGATCGATGTTTTAACAAACTTTGACTTAAAGGGGGGGATCAGAAGGAATACTTGAATTCAGCAGTTGGTCAAGCAGAAATGTGAGATTTTCCAGCTGAAGGAATTGCATACTACTACTAGCCATCTAGCCATCTAGAATATTTGCATGATCATATTTGTAATGATAGTCTAAAGAAGTGAATTGCCATAAGCTTTTATCAACTGACAGTATTAAAAGTAGGCCTAGTATTCAAGTACAGTCACGGTGTTGGTATGTTCCTTATGTACAGTGGGGAGAATAAGTATTTGATACACTGCTGATTTTGCAGGTTTTCCTACTTACAAAGCATGTAGAGGTCTGTAATTTTTATCATAGGTACACTTCAACTGTGAGAGACGGAATCTAAAACAAAAATCCAGAAAATCACATTGTATGATTTTTAAGTAATTAATTAGCATTTTATTGCATGACATAAGTATTTGATCACCTACCAACCAGTAAGAATTCCGGCTCTCACAGACCTGTTAGTTTTTCTTTAAGAAGCCCTCCTGTTCTCCACTCATTACCTGTATTAACTGCACCTGTTTGAACTCGTTACCTGTATAAAAGACACCTGTCCACACACTCAATCAAACAGACTCCAACCTCTCCACAATGGCCAAGACCAGAGAGCTGTGTAAGGACATCAGGGATAAAATTGTAGACCTGCACAACGCTGGGATGGGCTACAGGACAATAGGCAAGCAGCTTGGTGAGAAGGCAACAACTGTTGGCGCAATTATTAGAAAATAGAAGAAGTTCAAGATGACGGTCAATCACCCTCGGTCTGGGGCTCCATGCAAGATCTCACCTCGTGGGGCATCAAAGATCATGAGGAAGGTGAGGGATCAGCCCAGAACTACACGGCAGGACCTGGTCAATGACCTGAAGAGAGCTGGGACCACAGTCTCAAAGAAAACCATTAGTAACACACTACGCCGTCATGGATTAAAATCCTGCAGCGCACGCAAGGTCCCCCTGCTCAAGCCAGTGCATGTCCAGGCCCGTCTGAAGTTTGCCAATGACCATCTGGATGATCCAGAGGAGGAATGGGAGAAGGTCATGTGGTCTGATGAGACAAAAATATAGCTTTTTGGTCTAAACTCCACTCGCCGTGTTTGGAGGAAGAAGAAGGATGAGTACAACCCCAAGAACACCATCCCAACCGTGAAGCATGGAGGTGGAAACATAATTATTTGGGGATGCTTTTCTGCAAAGGGGACAGGACGACTGCACTGTATTGAGGGGAGGATGGATGGGGCCATGTATCGCGAGATCTTGGCCAACAACCTCCTTCCCTCAGTAAGAGCATTGAAGATGGGTCGTGGCTGGGTCTTCCAGCATGACAACGACCCGAAACACACAGCCAGGGCAACTAAGGAGTGCTTCCGTAAGAAGCATCTCAAGGTCCTGGAGTGGCCTAGCCAGTCTCCAGACCTGAACCCAATAAAAAATCTTTGGAGGGAGCTGAAAGTCCTTATTGCCCAGCGACAGCCCCGAAACCTGAAGGATCTGGAGAAGGTCTGTATGGAGGAGTGGGCCAAAATCCCTGCTGCAGTGTGTGCAAACCTGGTCAAGACAGGAAACGTATGATCTCTGTAATTGCAAACAAAGGTTTCTGTACCAAATATTAAGTTCTGCTTTTCTGATGTATCAAATACTTATGTCATGCAATAAAATGCAAATTAATTACTTAAAAATCATACAATGTGATTTTCTGGATTTTTGTTTTAGATTCCGTCTCTCACAGTTGAAGTGTACCTATGATAAATATTACAGACCTCTACATGCTTTGTAAGTAGGAAAACCTGCAAAATCGGCAGTGTATCAAATACTTGTTCTCCCCACTGTATACACTAGAGTTGACCATTGCCCACAAATACACATAAGAACTACCCACTACACAAGGAGCTGCTTCTCCCTATGGAGTTACAACCCTTTGAGTTAACTCAAAAAAAATAAGTAATCAACTCAGAAGAACTAGGGGGAGAGAGAAGGACACAGTAGATCTTCAGAAACCTCCGGCCCCATCTGTCTGTCTCTCTATGTCAGGGCTGAGCCGGTTCTGACCAGAATCAAAGAGGACCACAAGAGGATCATCTTGCCCTCCATCGATAACATCAAGCACGAGTCGTTTGAGCTGGAGCGCTATGAGAACTCTGGCCATGGCTACAACTGGGAGCTGTGGTGCATGTACATCAACCCCCCCAAACAGTGGTGGGACGACGGGGACACCTCCGCACCCATTAGGTAGGCTACACACCGGCACGCATATACACACACGCACGGGCACGTGTACACACACAAGGGCACGCACACACGGGCACACACACAACTAAATAAACACTTGAATTTAGAGAACCCAATTGCCAAAATAAGGAAAACAGAATCCCCCTCTTCCCCCCTCAGAACTCCTGCAATGATTGGTTGCTCCTTTGTGGTGAACCGGGACTACTTTGGGCACCTGGGGCTGCTGGACTCTGGCATGGACGTCTACGGAGGAGAGAATATCGAACTGGGGATCAAGGTTTGTGTGTCACCCATTTTTCTGTGAAGGCTGAGCATAATTGGGCCCTGGTCAAAAGTAGTGCACTATAAAGGGAATAGGGTGCCATTTGGGATGCAGTCATTGTATGTTAGGGTGGCGAGAGGCAGGGTGACTAGTGTGTGAATAGTGCATTCTGTATCCTGTATTTGTTGTGTCTTGTCCTATTTCAGCAAGTATGTAATTGTGGTTCTATGAGTAGAGCTAAGCATTGGGTTATGTTTGTTCGTGTGCTTGTAAATTTTCCTTCTTAATTATTCGTGTTAGTCCTGCAGAACATTTGTTGTATGTGAAGGTATGTGTTCAGTTCTCATACTATTTCTCCACCAACATGCACTACCAGGTGTGGCTGTGTGGGGGCAGTATGGAGGTGCTGCCCTGCTCCAGAGTGGCTCACATCGCCAGGATGAAGAAGCCCTACCACAGCAACATAGCCTCCAGCACGCGGCGTAATGCCCTGCGCGTGGCCGAGGTCTGGATGGACCACTTTAAGTCCCATGTCTACCTGGCCTGGAACATCCCAATGGAGGTTAGTTGCTCCTACATACTGATTAAAAGTCATTTTTTGTGGGGCATATGAAAATGTATGTTCAGATTGAACTCCAGGTCAGGGAGTCGGATGAAGTTGAACCCTATACAATGATCTATGATCAGTTTTGCGTACATATGTTCAGATAAAACGCCTATTCCCCTACCTAGATTTTCACTAGTCAATTAATCTATTCATTATCCTAACTACATTGTACAGTATGTACACCATACATTTCATTGCTAATGTTACATATTTGTAATTGTGTGTGCATCTCAAATGGCACCCCATTCCCTATATAGTGCACTACTTTTGACCAGAGCCCTATGGGGTTAGCCTCGCGAGCCACCTGGAATTCCGTGCAGCGAACCATTATTGTAAGCTTGCGAGATCAGGATGGCTCACGAGGCTATTTTGGGGTGCCATTTGGGACACAATCTGTAATCAACCACTCCCTGTTCCAGAACCATGGGATAGACTATGGGGACATCTCTCAGAGGGTAGCATTGAGGAAGTCTCTGCATTGTAAGAACTTTGAGTGGTACCTGGACAACGTCTATCCAGAGATGAGGAGGTACAACAACACTCTCTTTTACGGGGAGGTGAGTCTGACTGACGACAGGGCCTACACACAAAGTTTTACTAAACACTCAACAAACACTCATAAGATGCTTTTAGCAGCCAAGTAGCTTTTTCCCCTCATAAAAAGTTATCTCTCTCTCTCCCTCTCTCTCCTCCCTGTAGATTCGTAGTAGCAAAGCGACCCATCTGTGTATGGACCAGGGAGAGAAGGTGAACCACACGGCCACCCTGCACCCCTGTCACGGAATGGGACCTCAGGTAACCTATTATACTAGGTATACAGTGTGTCCCAAATGGCACCTTATTCCCTACTTGGTGCATTACTTTTGCCTAAAAGTAGTGCACAATATAGGAGATAGGGTGCTATTTGGGACACATTCTAGGTTCACCAAGCTGTGAGAGCAAAATCTGCAGAATGCATTATTTTATAGCAGAATGTGTTATTATATAAAATTAAATGATGTGGTCCATACACAAAACTGGACAAAACGTCAGCAAAACTAGGAGAATGTAGCCCTTTGCCCCTGTGACATACAAATGTAGCGGATACCATGACTGGTTCTACAGTCAAAACAAAAGATGCAGACACAATATCTCAATCATATTTAGTTAATTCTGTTGAGTTTTTTTTAGACCCATTTTGAATGAGAGCGGATATGATATCATATCACAAATAATATGTTTTACAGTTTAGCCATGTACTACTGTAACTTGTCTCTCTGTGTGTTCCTCCCAGTTGAGTTGAGAAGGACACACCTAGTTGTTGTTGATAGCCCTTTACCATTCACCACTTAATTTGGTCTCCCTGTGTCTGTCTCCTACCAGTTGTGCCAGTACACCAAAGAGGGCCAGTTCTTCCTGTGTGCTCTGGCCAGTACAGGGGAGAACACATATAGTGGTTGTTGATAGCCTTTAACCAGCCATTCACAGTAGTGTCTCCCTGTTTCTCCCAGTTGGGTCGGTACACCAAGGAGGGACAGTTTTTCCTGGGTGCTCTGGGCAGTACAGGGGAGGAAACACGCTGTCTGATGGATGACCAGGTCTCCAATTTCCCTCAGCTCCTCAACTGTGACAAAGTCTCCAACACCAGGCTGACCACATGGCACTTCTCTCAGGTCAGACTAACCTTTACATTGTTTTTTATTTTAACATTGGCTCATTCTTTCCATTTAAGTTGATCTTATACTGTGTTACTTACTTTCTTACTTGTTTACTTATTTACTCTTCTTCGTTCCCTGTAGAGCATAGGGCCGCAGCGAGCCCCTGCCATGCCACACCTGTGTAGTAACACTGTAATAACACCACATTGTAAGGACCTGTGCAGGCTAACCCTGTGTAGTAACACTGTAATAACACCACATTGTAAGGACCTGTGCAGGCTAACCCTGTGTAGTAACACTGTAATAACACCACATTGTAAGGACCTGTGCAGGCTAACCCTGTGTAGTAACACTGTAATATCACCACATTGTAAGGACCTGTGCAGGCTAACCCTGTGTAGTAACACCACATTGTAAGGACCTGTGCAGGCTAACCCTGTGTAGTAACACTGTAATAACACCACATTGTAAGGACCTGTGCAGGCTAACCCTGTGTAGTAACACTGTAATAACACCACATTGTAAGGACCTGTGCAGGCTAACCCTGTGTAGTAACACTGTAATATCACCACATTGTAAGGACCTGTGCAGGCTAACCCTGTGTAGTAACACTGTAATAACACCACATTGTAAGGACCTGTGCAGGCTAACCCTGTGTAGTAACACTGTAATAACACCACATTGTAAGGACCTGTGCAGGCTAACCCTGTGTAGTAACACTGTAATAACACCACATTGTAAGGACCTGTGCAGGCTAACCCTGTGTAGTAACACTGTAATATCACCACATTGTAAGGACCTGTGCAGGCTAACCCTGTGTAGTAACACTGTAATAACACCACATTGTAAGGACCTGTGCAGGCTAACCCTGTGTAGTAACACTGTAATAACACCACATTGTAAGGACCTGTGCAGGCTAACCCTGTGTTGTAGCAGAAATAAAAAATGATAGAAGCTACCTGGAGGTGACTGTTGCCGACACAATGATCAGGGCCCGTATTCATAAAGCATCTCAGAATTGGAGTGTTGATCTAGGATCAGATCACCACTGTCCATTCATTATAATGTAAAAGGTTAAACTGATCCTAGATCAGCACTTTTAGCCTGAGACACTTTATGAATACTATGAGGTCACATGAAGGTAGTAGCCTACTCAACTGAGAACATTCTATTTCCTCTGTCCTTCAGAACGAGTCGATCGTCAACAGAGCCACGGGCCGCTGTTTGGAGGTGATACAGGCTAACGTTTACTTCGGACACTCGCTGGTGCTTCAGACCTGCTCCGGACAGAGGTGGAGCATCAAAAACACAATGAAGCAGTAGCCACAGCATGATGCAGAATTCTTCTTTGGCCAAGATAGTGTTAGTGTACTGAATTGTATCAGATGTCATACTGTATTATTACAATTATTCAGTTGGTGTTATCAGTTGGACTTTTCCAAGATTGTCTTCCAATAAACTGCTGGTCTGATGGTTAAAAAATATTTCTGTATGCAAATAACTATTACACCATATGGGGTGATTATGTTGACACAATATTAACCCATCACAGCCTTTACTGCAACAGATTTATTCAACTTCAATGTTAGGATTTCATGAAATGGTTTTAGCACTTCCTTTTCAGCAACTCATTAAGATCACTCCAAATTGAAAAGAAACGAATATAAAAACCCATTAAGTGCATTAAGACTCCAAACTGTTTTGTGACTGATTCAGGATTCAGCACAACTATCTCTGACACGCCGTGCTTTGTGTTCATTAGTTAGTCCTCTATTTACTTCTCTTGTTAAAACATATATATTTTCATTTTTTTTGTAAAAAAAGAGACTGTCCCTTTTTTCCATTCAGCTTTAACCCAGCTGGCTAGCATCAGCAGAGGATACTGCTAGCAGAGCCATGAGAATGCAGCTGGTGTATGAATAGAGCAATCACATTCACTATGTGGCATGTCTGTGAGGGAGTAAAGGAGGAGGCAGTCGAGCAGACCGGAGTAGGAGTGCTGATCTAGGATCAATTTAGTCTATTTAGATCATAACGAAGAAGATTGCTTGGACGGGGACTTGATCCCAGATCAGCACTCCTACTTTGAGACGCGTTATGAAGACTGGCTTATACCTCCATCTTGTGGTCTTCTCCTACACAGCACTAGTCATAAGGCCTCAGATTAGAAGTGCTGATCTAGGATCAGTTCTGCCTTTTAGATCATAATCCCACCCCCCTAAAAATGACGGAGCTAGCGAGTTGAAGGAGAGTGTGCTCTCGACCGGCGTTTTGATTTTATTTTGTACATTTCATTTGGCATGCCATTTTGCATTTCGCCTTTTGTCGTTTTTGTTTTGGTGTTATTATTTCTTTGTCACCAATTTAAACATCAACGACTCACTTGTGCTGGCCCGACCACTGAGTCACGCCAGAGCTGTCCCCCTAGATCCCCGGTAAGCGAGCCCGCTGTCCTCAGGTACACACACACACCCAACAAGGTCCACACACTCATACTTCCATGTTAATGCACACACCTAGTCAGGTTACAGAACAATTAGGCAAGCCTAGGGCCCCTGATTACACAGTTGGCTGTGTAATCAGTTCCATAACAGTTGTCTCACCTAGTAACTAGGATCAGTTTTGCCTTTCAGATCCCAATGAATAAGATTACATGGACAGGGATCGGCACATGGATCCTAGATCACCACTCCTACTCTGTGATGCTTTGTAAATATGGGCCCTGAACTATAATTTACAACCAGGTTTACAGCAAACTGATGTACTGGCTTATACCTCCATCTTGTGGTCTTCTCCTACACAGCACTAGTCCTATCTGATGGAAGGCAATGAGATACAACAACTTTTAACAAAAAAGAGATGTTTTATTGCATAAATGCTTTCCATTTACTTTTGTACAGATTTCAATATTTACAGATACAATATTCAGGCTATTATTAATATTACAACTTAAATCTGGACTAAAAAGCACTCAATGGAGATTTTCCATTGATCTTGCTTTTTAGTCCAGCACGAGGCTTAATGTGTGTCCGGCAACTGCCCCTACATGTTTTAATGGTGTGCATGCACAGTTTACATGTGTATATGTATCTACTGTATACCAGTGCTTAATTTGTAAGTGCCTGAACAAAAAGTGAGCGTGAGAGGGGGGTGACCTGGGGAGTGCTGAGGTACCGGAACGCATGAGAAAATACATTGTCTTGAATCCATCAATAGCCTAGACGTAGGTGTGTGGAGACACATATTGTAGGCTACAATATGAGGAGAGAATTATAGTCCTAAAAATGCTTTGCAGTTTCACTTACTCACCCAATTATGCGCAGCTCACTCGCTGGTGATTGTCGATGTGCTCGTGCCAAAAAGCTCTCTCTCGCTCTGTCTCTCTCTCACACTTTTGTAGAACAATATTACAGCATATAGTCTTCTCTTTTCAGCAGGAGCCATTTGCTTTCCAACCTGTGCTTCCCTCTATTGTCCTTGAAATATTACGAAAGGCCTGTTTTGTCTGCGTGCTGTTTTTTTACTGACATATTTGCGGCGCGTCCCCGACTGTAGGCAGCTGCAGTTCCTTCAGACCCTTAGCGCGGCTATGACTCTATAAGGAAATACATGATGAAGTGCAACGCTGGAGAGATAAGAGTTGCAGGCTCATGTCTATCAGAGCAGAGAGGGAGAGAGATCATATAAAATAAATCTAATTCTAGTTATGTGAGAGATACTGGCGCGCTTCTCACACAGCCACGGCCACGCGTTGGGCTCAAACATAAGTTACAATGTTGCGCAAACCATAAACCCGGGCCGGCCCAACACAAATCAACTCTTAGAATATTAGGCTAGGGCTAATATTTACCTTTTTTTGTGGTTGTAGGAGAATTAACGAAGAGGCAACTCGAATGAACTTTGATCGCGTTTATTTGAATTTTTACATTGTACCTCTTGTACATTTTCATGCCACAAGAGGTACCGGATCCGGCCAAATAGTTTCCGGAACAAAACAGTCCAAAACGGAGAGGTGCCGGATCCTGATCCGGCTCAAATTAAGCACTGTGTATATCTATGATTTTTTATGTACAGTGTCCATACAGCACATACATGTGCAATTCAACCACCATGCTACTGAAGTGAGACTGTTAGTTTTCCAGCCTTATTCACCATCAGTTTTAATGATCAAGACATGCACTGATTCTGTGAGGGCAGGTACAGCTCCATCCCCTGTAACAGTATAGTATACCCAGGTCAGAGCCTTTTATGTGGGCTAACATGTATTTATTCATAAAAATAAGGTTCAGACTATACCCTGGTATTACAGTGTATCATGGGGTTAGGGTGGGGCTGTGTCCCAAATGACACACTATTCCTTCTATAGTCCACTACTTTGGCCAGAGCCCCATGGGCCCTGGTCAACAGTAGTGCTCTACATATGTATTAGGGAGCCATTAAAGAAGCAGACAAGGGTGATTGCTCAAAACAAAAAAATAAGGAACAAACTCCAGTTTGACAGAATACATTATATAATGAATGAGGTGAGAATCTGCCACCGATTAGGCTTAAATTGGTGGTCTCAACAATATTAAATCCAGTGTAGCCTACTCTATTTGCAAGATGATATTGCACACAAATCAGTGCTTTTATTTTGACATCATAGAATAACTATGAAAACTTCACAGAGGAGCCATCCATCCAAACATGATGTTAAAATGAATGGGGACGTTCATTGATCATACTTTAATGCAAACTTCTTCAAGGTGATTAGAAAGGAGATTTTCTGCCATGAGCAAGACATACAGAATTCCAATAAAAAGACTACTATGTATGTTTCACAAACAGTGCAGTTAATCGAACCAACAATTATTTAGGTAGAACATTCATAATTTCATAAAACCTTCTATACCGATAAGATAGATAAGAATCATAATATTATATTTCAAAATGTTATGTTCTGATGATTTGACATCTCAATACAAGGGATCGATTATTCAGCTGACATTTCCACATACCTTTATTTACCCATATCTCATTTACTGTAATATTGTCTGGGCCAGTACATACAGTGCATTTGGAAAGTATTCAGACCCCTTGACTTTTTCCACATTTTGTTACGTTTCAGCCTTATTCTAAAATGGATTACCTTTTTCGTGAAATCCAATTGGTAGTTACAATCTTGTCCCATCGCTGCAACTCCCTTACGGACTCGGGAGAGGCATGCATCCTCCGAAACACGACCCTGCCAAGCCGCACTGCTTCTAGGCACACTGCTCGCTTAACCCAGAAGCCAGCCGCACCAATGAGTTGGAGGAAACACTGTACAGCTGGCGACCGAAGTCAGCTGGCAGGTGTCCGGCCTGCCAAAAGGAGTCGCTAGAGCGCGATGGGACAAGAAAATCCCGGCCTGCCAAACCATCCCCTAACCCAGACAACGCTGGGCCAATTTTGCGCTGCCTCATGGATCTCCCGGTCACGGCCGGCTGTGACACAGCCTGGGATCGAACCCGGGGCTGTAGTGACGCCTCAAACACTGCGATGCAGTGCCTTAGACCGTTGCGCCACTCGGGAGGCTAACATAAAAAAAAATCCTCATCAATCTACACACAATACCCCCATAATAACAAAGCAACAACAGGTTTTTAGAAATGTTTGCAAATGTATTAAAAATAAAAAACAGAAATACCTTATTTACATAAGTATTTAGACCCTTTGCTATGAGACTCGAAATTGAGCTCAGGTGCATCCTGTTTCCATTGATCATCCTTGAGATGTTTCTACAACTTGATAGGAGTCCACCTGTGGTAAATTCAATTGATTTGACATGATTTGGAACACACCTGTCTATATAAGGTCCCACAGTTGACAGTGCATGTCAGAGCAAAAACCAAGCCATGAGGTCGAAGGAATTGTCCGTAGAGTGCCGAGACAGGATTGTGTCGAGGCACAGATCTGGAGAAGGGTACCAAAACATTTCTGCAGCATTGAAGGTCCCCAAGAACACAGTGGCCTCCATCATTCTTAAATGGAAGAAGTTTGGAACCACCAAGACTCTTCCTAGAGCTGGCCGCCCGGCCAAACGGAGCAATCGGGGGAGAAGGGCCTTGGCACCATCCCTACGGTGAAGCATGGTGGTGGCAGCATCATGCTGTGGGAATGTTTTTCAGTGGCAGGGACTGGGAGACTAGTCAGGATAGAGGGAAAGATGAACGGAGCAAAGTACAGAGAGATCCTCGATGAAAACCTGCTCCAGAGCGCTCAGGACCTCAGACTGTGACGAAGGTTCACCTTCCAACAGGACAACGACCCTAAGCACACAGCCAAGACAACGCAGGAATGGCTTCGGGACAAGTCACTGAATGTCCTTGAGTGGCCCAGCCAGAGCCTGGACTTGAACCCGATGGAACATCTCTGGAGAGACCTGAAAATAGCTGTGCAGCGACACTCCCCATCCAACCTGACAGAGCTTGAGAGGATCTGCAGAGAAGAATGGGAGAAACTCCCCAAATACAGGTGTGCCAAGCTTGTAGCGTTATACCCAAGAAGACTCGAGGCTGTCATCGCTGCCAAAGGTGCTTCAACAAATTACTGAGTAAAGGGTCTGAATACTTATGTAAATGTAATATTTCCGTTTTTGTTTTTAATACATGTACAAAAATGTTTAAAAATACGTTTTTGCTTTGTCATTATGGGGTAT